GAAGGTCAGTGACCTCGCTCCATGAGGGTCGATGGGTGACACGAAAGGAGAACGAGGAAGAACGGTGAAAGGCTTGGCAGTGAAGAACGGTGAAGAACGCATGGTCTGGACAGCTTCCATATGCCTGAGCAGCGCAGGGCACATATTAAAACCATGTTAAAACCGTGTTCCAAACAAAAATGAAGCCATTCCGGTGTGTAGAAAGGAACCTTGGTGGGTCAAGCACTCACTTCATTCAAGTAGGTGGGAACCACCCAAACCCTGCGTGGTCGTAACGGGTTCTCATCTTCCGGGGGTCCCAGGCATCGTGGTGGCGTCGTTTCTTTCAGTGCTGGGGACCGTCAGCATGTTGCTTCGTTGGTACCGGCTCACTCCTTGGTTCCAGGTGGACCTGTCAAGGAATTGGGTTGATAGACCAGATGATAGACCATGCCAACCATGCCATAGTCTCAGGTCTTTTGCTGTTCAGCTTAGTCTCTCGGCGTTTTCTCCAGGAGAAAAAGCAGCAAGTGGAGCAGCAGAAGGTCATCGCCGCACAGGATTTCGACCACATCGACTCGTTCGACGCACCATCTTCCCAAGGGGTGGCCCGGTTAGCCTCCAAAGACGAGTTGGGAGTGGTGAGCCGCTGGAGTGAGACATGTGTGGGGGGTGTTTTTTCATCAACTTGTTCTTAGGCCTTATGACGAATGCTTTGTGGGTGAACTGGCAGTTTGAGAGTTGATGATTTTTGATAGATCCCATCCAATTAAAGGAGTTATATACTGTAATTTGTTTCCATGTTTCAGGCCATTTCAGGCTGCAGATTTGGGGGGAGACTGGCGGATTTTGGAGTCAATGAGAGTCGTTATATAGGATGATGTTTTTCCCGAACTGAGTGAATCCCCTTCTGGGGAATATGCGAATATGAATATGTGTATGTTTGTTTGTCCGGCTCCATACTTAAGAACATCCAAGAGATCATCCAATGTTAGGTGTTTAGAGCAAGAACCCAAGAGGCTTGGTGAGCAAGAGCATCAACGTCCCAAGCCTGGCTTTGTCCCATCTTTCGTCCTTTCGCAACGTCCACGAGGAGCGAGCGCTCCAAGAACACATGGATGTGGCGCATTTGGCTCGGCAGCTGGCCGCCGAGAAGGCGCCGGTTCGCGCGCGTTGTCTCCGAAGGTGCGAAGAAGAGACAGAGACCATTTCTTGAGAAATCACCCCAAGAAATGGACTTCGCAAGGTAGACAGGAAAAGGAGAAACGGTGTACGTAGTACTTCTGAGATCTTATCAGTACTGGCAATTTCTAGCTGGGCATGTACTTGGGAAGGTAGAGATGGTACCACCTTGGGTGCTTTGCATGTTCTTGTCCAACCGTTCATGCCATGGAAATTGAGAGCCTCTCTAAGTGGAGTCGACAAACTCCTTCTCCCAGCACTTCACTCTCTTCATGGCGCTTGAATCCAAGAATTTCAGCACCGATAGGCCCAATAGGCTGGGATCCAACTGCCCATCATGGGAGGTGGTCAATCCTATTAGGATTGATTTCGATTGATCCAACAATCGAAGCTCTGAGTTTCTCATCTGATTTTTGCGGGGCTATCCCAGATCCGACCATCCTCAGGTGGGGAGAGGAGAGGAGCAAGAACGAAAACCCCTGTGAGCAAAACACAACTAACTGCAACTACTGGTCGATTCTTCTTGTCCACCCAATGGAGATAGAGCCCACTGAGGACAGCCTCACGTCTGTTGCACGAAACCGTCTGTCGTCCCAGGCGTTCCGGCAGTCTGTCGTTCCAAGTCCAACGGAAGGAAACCCAACTGCCAACCAGCGTCCTCCACTGGTTTGATGGGTGTTTTTGTTCCGCCCCCCGAAAAAAGAATGGCACGGTGGAGGTGGAAAGTGTTCAATTCCGTGCAAAAAAGACACCCTCATGCATCTCACGCTCTGAGCCGAGTGGTTCAGCCGGTGTTGGGCAGGAAAGACTACTGGAGAACCTGCAGTTCAGCCGCAGCTGTTTACAGGCACCTTTAAGGCTTGAGAAAAGCAGAGAGAGCTCGGAGGATGTTCCGCTTTTTGTTTGTTGATGTTTGTTTGTGTGTTTGTTTGTTTGTTTGATTGTTAAGGTTTGTGGAGTCCCAGCAACTCTGGTTCTAACCTGAGCACAAAATAGTATCCCAATCAAGAATATGTGCTTGTTTCACTGAAATGACTGTTAGAATAAGTTTGATCAGTTCTACTGTATCGGACCATGAATTGGGCAAAGAAAACCGACTGAAGCCAAGAAACGGATGAAGTCGTTGTTTTTTGGAGCGCTGCGTGGACATCTAAAGACGGCAGAGACTCCTCCAAACTGGATGCATCCAGGTTCTTCTTCCCTCAAAAGACCAGGCCGTCTTCGCTGGTCGCTCGATCCAAGTAGGGTGTTCTCAGTGAGGGTTCTCCTACTGGGACTCTCCATGAACGTAACTCCGATTGGTGTGGCCGAACCACGCTTTAAACAATCCCCCATAGAATCGGCGGTTCCAAACAGTTGGCTTTGGAACATTCTCCCCAAATCAGGAAGCACATTTGTGCGGCATCTCCCAACCTGAACGATTCATACGGGATGCGAAGATTGATCTGGGTACCCCAGCAGATCAGGCCGATTGATCAATCCTGATCACGAAGAGTTGTGTCCGATCACATTCATGAAGGCCTAACGTGTCACGAGTGGATCTTCCACTTTCTTCTCCAATGCAAGGGGTGACAGTCCGTGAACCCCGGGATAGGGGTCTTTGACCTAGAGTGTGGAACGATCCAGGTGGGGGGTCTCCCAGAAACACGATCCGGTTGCCACAACTCCGGCCCGTTCAGGCGGAGATAGTCCAACCTCGTGACACGAACGGGGGCAATGAATGTGTTTCAGGCTGGGTCCAGCGATCTGGTATGGCATGACTGGGCTTCGTGGGGATTCGGACGGACCTCCTTGGGCGCATGAACTGCTTGCTTCACTACTGGCGACTCGGGAACCACGCAGGCCCACACAGATCAACGAGTGTTCACCTCGTTGGGTCAAAATTGGGTGTATGCCAAAGGCCTGGAGCTGAACTTCTTGCCCAAGTTTGGTTCTACGATCTTTTGCTGCCAGTCTTTTGTAAAAAAACGTGGGAAAACATCAGCAACGTGGGGAACGAAAGTTGGGTGGTTTCCCTGATGTCCATGTTCTTCTTTCTTTTTGGTGGATTTGCTGCTAAACCGCAAGTGAACATTTTCGCTGGATCTACCCACAGTGTGAAAAATCCTACTGTAAGGATCTAACGCCATGAGATGCCACCAAAGTGGCTGCACATTCCGATTCCCATATTCACTGAAGTCCAATTGTCTTTTTAGACTAGCTTTTGATCCAAACGGGTGCTGCGAACTTCTGCCTCTGGACGAAAACGGAACTCTTCGAAACGGTTTTCAATTGAACGAGCACCGCTGAAGGCCTTGGACGTCGTCCATCTTCGAATCTTCAACCTTAACTGGATGCCAATTAAGAAGCAAAGCTGGAGTAAGCTGGAGTACTTGGTTTAAGCGATCTGGTTTGACCATCCAAATACAGTTTGACCATCCGCTCGATTATCCAGTCCCGCCGTCCACGCGGCGTCCGAGGCGAGCTCGCTCCGCGGGACCGTCCAGAACAAATCGGCGGCCTCCTTGCGGTCGAGACCGCGACCGCCCGCAGAAGACGTGCGACCAAAAAGAATCCCAACCAGTCATACCATGATGAAGTTCAGGAATATGCTGGGTCCTGTGGTAGGCACGAAGCCTGTGGGTGTATGAACAAGGGCCAATCAGATGAAAGTGTTATGTGTTCTCCATACTTGTATGTGCCACCAATCTGATCAATCTGCTTATTCTGCATTGACTGGTGTTAAAAAAACAAGAAAGTGTTGCTTCGGGTAGCTGAACTTTAGGTTTGCATCACCTCTCTCGGAACGATACAATGGGACGATGAAACTCACTGAAGAGCAGAAATCCAGCACTCCACTGAAAGACAGCCAGGTGGTGGCTTCTTTTCCGCGTATGTGTAGTATGTGCTCCATCGTGTTGTTTGAGTGGTTTCCAACAGATTGGGCATTGGAAAGGCCAGAAAAGCTTGAGGATCAATGTCTATACCCATCATGTTCAAAAATGTGTGCAGATTTGTATGAGGATTATGAGGTCTATAGGGACGGGAGAGTGCATAGCTTGTCTACTCAATGACTTGGGTATATATTATATGTGCATGTGGCATGTGTATTAAAATAGGAAGACCTGGAAGAAGAAAATGACACCCGTCTACCCAGCCAGGGCGATCGGGGGTCTCCCTAGTAAAGGGCACATCCCATATGGTTTCCTGTATGTGTTCCACAACGTCAATCGCAGGATTTCACCGATTTGTGGAAGTCCATTGCCATTGGACTGAAGTGGGATGAGGAACTCTCATTGGTGCACATTGTTGGAGTGTGCGACAATGGATGCAGTAAGATAGAGAGAAGACAAGAGATAGAACAGTTGCGGTACATGCCGGATTAGGCCGGTTTGGGTGCTTCATAATACATGAAAGGTGTAGCACCACTTTGACCCTTCCAAAAATCCGCTTTTGGGCTGATCCGAACAAGTGCCATCTCAGTTGCCGTAGCGAGATGAGACAAGCTGCATGAGCATGAGCCGCAATGGAAAGTTCGACATCACAAAACCAAGACACACTTGTCATTTAATGCTAGGAGCGATGGTTCTGGGCTCAAAGAAGAGGAATAACATGTGTAAAAAATAATGAATTGTTGAGACAGATTCAACTTGTTCACCATCCGACCATCTGCCAATCCACTTGAAGAGAGCTCTTCAGCCTTCGTGCGTCCTGCAGAACTCTGACCCCTGCTTTGACCACGCGACCCCAATTCATGGCTTTGATCAGGGTCAAAGGACCCCAGGTTGGGCCAAACCTCTCAAAACGGGCCTTCACCAGAAAAGGGAGGGTCTCTCAAAACAGGCACTACAAAGCTTTGGATTTGTTTGGATTCAACGTCACAGAATCCGATGAGTCATCGTGCGGAGCCATATTCCACGCACTGGACTGGCACAGGTACGGGTAGCTCAGGCATTTGAGTCGGGGGTTGGGGGGAGATTCAGATCGCTTGGTGACTCACCCGACGGACCTCTTTCCAAGAAAGGGAAAATAGCCCAGTCGTCTTTGTTTATTCAGGTGGATTGTGATATTCATTCAGGAGTGTATTGAAGAAAGCGGACCAAGTAGACTCGTAGACCATCTTTGAGGCGGTTGAGTGGAAGGACGTTCTTCTTGATTGAAACATATTGACAAGGGATTGGCAACGTTGACCCAAAGGTAACCCATACGCCGCACGCGCCGAACCAACACCAAACCAGTGGCCTACCCAAAGTGGCAAACCACCCGACGCCGCACGCATCTCAAAAGCTCTTCACTCTCGGAGGTCGGAGTTCAAATCGACTCAGTATACGAGGCTCGTGTCTTCTGGAGGACTCAGCAGATTACGACCCAATCAAACAAAAACGCATGGGGAAGGGGGGGGGCACAAGGGATTCTTCCCTCACACCATGGATGTTTCATGAGGTTTCACTGCACCGATCCAACAGAGGTTCAGTGACCTAAAAAAAGGACCCTATATAGAGGTACCTAGATAGATAGTAGATAGATAGATAGATAGATATCGATAGATATCGATAGAGATAGAGATATAATATATATAGTCTATAGGGACCTTCAACCTCTGTTGGCGGATTCATTTTGTTTTGGAGCGCTGGCAGTCCGAGGCGGTGGGCAGTCCGTGTGTCGGCACTTCTTGCAGGGCAAATGCACGTTCGGCCCGGAGACCTGGTTCGGGTGGCGAGCTGATGGGCCTGGTGGCAGAGCTCAGATGGGGAATAGAGAGTCTTTTTAGACCACACTGGAGGTGGGTTGGTTCCGGAATTGAGGTGGCTCACTTTTGTCCGACAGATTCTTTTGATGATAGGTTTGGTCGAATCGCCACCCAACCAAACATGCACAACTACAGGGAGATAGGACCACCAACTCATTGATGAACAAGTTCAGTACGACACCCGCGGGACCGGGGAGGGTGTGTGCGTGTGTGAGAGGCACGTTTCGTTGACCAGATCTAAGCATTTGCGTCTAGTGATACGAATCCAGGGGCAAGGATGACTACTATACTTGTGATAAAATTACTGTAATGATCCGTAATTAGTTCATGGATTTCAGTGGTTTGCAATTGATACGGTCTGGGAAAATGCATTTCAAGTATATATTTGGGCACAGACTTTCTCAAAACGTGGCCCAAATCGAGGTGAGGTGCCAATGAACAGTGCGAGATGCCTACCCCAGTGATGGATGAGTGACTGAAACTGGGAAACTGAGTCTACGTAGGATTGCAAGCTGTTTGGGTTGCGCTTGTCATTGTGTATGTGGCCAAGCTTGACAAGACTTGTGGGCTCTATTGCTCAGACACAGGGACTGCAGGGACTCCCAAGCCGTGTTGGATCTCGTTCAAGGCAGTGGGACTCCCCGCTTGGACGGCAGCTCTTCCTTTCGGACCCACCGCCGAGGTGAGGCCTGCAGCTTCAAGCACGAAGGGAGCGCACCAGGTGCGGCCTCGAAACCGGGGTCAGAAGGGTCCCAGTGGGCCGAACGCGACGTGTTTGGGTCCCCAAAGGGCCGAACTCAGCTATTACAGAAGCAAAATGCTATTTGATCAGTTCTAGAATTATTTAGAATAGGTTCTGAGCTATTTGATCAGGTTCATCAGATTTGCACAGGTCGAGCATGTTCTGAGGAACTGTGCAAATCCGCACTGGAGACCCATGCAGCACTGAAACCGTTGTCAGTGCCTCATGCGCCAGGCGCAATGCCCGTCCAAGGGGTCCAGATGGACGATGAGAGGCCGCCTCGGTCCACGCGAGGACGGAAGATGCAGTGTTTCACTCAAGGGTGCGGCCAGGCCCAAAATTCTACGAGCCGCTTTTGGGGCCACACGGCATGAGCAAAGGCAATTATAACAGAGACTTGTTCCCTTGTTGTACAGTTCCTAGTTGGGGAGCTTGTAGCTATGTAGCTGGAAACAGCTTGGCCAGGGGCATGTTCCTACCCCCAAAGGTCTTAGCTTAAGCGAAGCGAGCAACCACCAGAGGCGTGCGTGTTCTTTGTTTCTCGCGTCCGGCGAAGGTGTTCGCAGGGGCGGCCAGACAGGCGAGGATCTCGATCGTTGCCAGGCCTGTCTGCCGGCATTTCCTGGAAGGGAGGTGCACCTATGCTGATGCTTGCCGCTTCAGCCACCAAGCGCCCGAAAGCGCCAGCGCCGGCGGCGGAACCTGGAAAAGCCCAGAAGGCCGGGCCAGGAAACGTGCTTTTTCATGGCCCGTTTGTTCCAATGACCTCAGGTTCCTGGCGGTCTAGGTCAATGAATGCAGCATGTGTGAAGCGATTTGGCAAACTGGACGAGTGATTTGGTGCGAAACATGGCACCAATCAGCCCAGCCAATTCAGGCATCCCTCAATTTCAGCATCTCCAGTGTGCAGGGACAGCTTGAGCTCGAGCTCCAAGAGCCAAAATGATCCCTATTTAGATCTATTTAGTAGGTGTCAACCCGTTTCTTGTTCTTGCCAATGACCTGAGAATCCCTATTATGCTCCATGAATCAAAGCAACCAGTGTGAAGGATGGTTTAGCAGTTTAGAACAGTACACACCCTATATAGCTCACCCTGGGACGTTGGACATTTCTTAGATGGAAGCCTTTCAGATGGCCAGATAATAATGAGAATATCATCCACATGAGAATTGGACAAAAGCATACAAAAGCTTTGGTTTGGGTCCCCCCCCAAGTTGCTTCAGAATGGAAAGAGGAAGGCGGCCGAGGTCCCTTGACCATCTCCAAGGGATCCCTTTACCCAAAAATTTGGTGCGTCAGTCATATCTTCACTGAGAAAAAGATGTGCCAAGCAAAAATAAATACGTATATAGTTTAATGGTTTCGAACCTAACAATGTAAGAGGTACAAGTGAAATCCAATGAAGATCAATGAAGCCTGCAAGTGCCTTTAAGCTACTAGTAAAACCAAGGGCCTTACTACTAGTAATTCTTGCTACGTTCGTAGCGTCCTTGTTACTAGTAGTAAGGCCAGGAGCTACTAGTAGTGTGGCATCCCATCAGTGTTCCTCTTCAGGACTGGCGCCGAGTTCCGGTGATGACAGGCCGCGAGACCGGTCAAGTCCGTTGAGCCGGCAAACGCAGATTCGTAGAGGTATCTACTTATTGCATATGTGTGTAGATAGATGGATACCTAGAACCTGAGTGCAGAATATTTTTGGACCACCAACCACCCAACCTATGGTCTAACTTCCTATCAAAACAGGGGTCATGTTGGGGTTCCCGGTAGAAACATCTGCGTCTGTTTGCAGTCGACGGGCGGATCCGAGAAACCAGCAGGTTTACTCTGCTGAAAAGCGCCGAAGATCCCGGCGCAGCGGATCAGACGCTGGACGCTGGTCGTTCGGTTTAACGGGGGTTTTCCTCACGTTCCTCCCGTTCTCCAGCCGTGGACTCCGGCAGACCTAGCGGACCGGCAGGCCTGTCTGCCGGCATTTCCTGGAAGGGAGGTGCACCTATGCTGACGCTTGCCGCTTCAGCCACCAAGCGCCTGAAGGCGGAGCTCCTTCGCTTTCGCCGGTCATCCATCTTGTTCAGAGCCAAAAGGAAGGAATGCATATGGGCCAAAAAAGCATCTAGACATATCCAGACCCTGTATTTCACGGGATTTTGGAGGGTGGAGGTTCCAAGGATTCTTAGAGTGAAGTATGGTGAAGTCTAAGTACTTGCTGCTCCTGTCGTTTGTCGTTCGCATCTGGTCAGCTCCTGTGGAAGGCCCTGGACCAGCTCCGAATGCGGACGACAGGCACAGCGGGGTCTCATGCACAGCTCCGAGCAAGCTCGGACGCGGGATGACAAAGGGGATAAAAAGCCATGTGTTTGTTGCAATAAAGTGATTGCTCGTCGGGTGTCTCATGTTTCTTTGCAAGAGTCTATGCACGTAACACAACATCTTGTGTTCCTGTGTTCCTTGCATGAATTTGCAGAAACATGCAAATCCACAAGGATGCAGTCGATTGTTTCTAATCGGCGTTGCATGCAGACAGAAATCGAAAACCCACGAACTGGATGATAAGCCGGTATAATAGTTTCTGGCTGGTAGGTTGCGTGACCATTTTTTTGCAACTGGTGTCCCCTCCTGTTGATACTGGAAACAGTAAGTTGGTAGCCCCGTGCTTCCAACTCGTGCCAAGTGCGGATGGCAGGCCAGTCTGCCGGCATTTCCTGGAAGGGAAATGCACTTACGCTGAAGCTTGCCGCTTTAGCCATGATGCCCCAGGATTCCAACCACCAGGCAGCCTGGGAAGAAGATCCAGAGAAAAAAGCCGCCAATGCGCCAACACGTCAAATATCGGCCTGGTTGACCTTCAGAAAATACAAAAACCGATAAACACCTAGCACATCCTAGCACTTCTGGGTGTCCTGCTTAACAGACCATTATATAAGCATATATAAGCAATCTATAGGGTAATGTAGGGTTGCTCGTAGTTTGTGCTTAGTGGCTTAGTGGAGTTGGTGCTCTAAAAGGACTGAAGCTTTCTGAAAGCTCGTCGCTCTATGCCACTCTTCAACTCGAAGATTTATGGCGGAATAAGCTGGTCATAGCTGGTGTGCAGGACCATAGTATGAATGTAACGCATATAGTTCGAAAACCAGTGGGGACCCCAGCCAGTCAGCATCACTGAGATTCCACCTTTCCCTTCAAACCAAAGGCGGTTCCGACTCCGTCCAGCTGAGCTGGTGCGGGACAAAAGGCCACCGAAGAGTCTGGTGGAGAAACAAACGCTTTTCGGTCTGTTGGTGCGGTGCCGGGCCGAGCTGCTTCCATTCGGTCGCGAATGAATCAAGTTCCGGGTGTTACAACCACCGAACTGGAAACAAAAGCGTCCGTAATCTGAACCACGAGCACTGGTCACCACAACTGGCGTCCGTCACAACTCAAGGTTAAAGCAACAACTATGCTTGGAACTCACAGTCGAACGCACGTCCGCGTTGGAGCGTCGAACGTCCTTCTTTCGGCTTCCGCAACTGTTGCGTGTTCGCCCTCGCGAGACATGTGGCGTTTTCCACCGCAACGGGCGCCGGCTCCACCGCAAGTCCGGGGGAAGGCAGTCCGATCGCTGGCAAGGCAGTGATTTGGGGCACAAGCCGGTGGACGGCCAAAGGCAGGGCAGAGCGACTTGTTCTTGTCGTCCAAGCTGATGAGTTGGTCGATTATTTTATTTCGAATCTCTCCTCCGAAGTACCCTAACAGTTCATGTGTGGAAAATTGTGGAAGTATATATACCCTAGAAGTCCAAACTATATTTTGACCGGCTGAAGTAAAGGAAGTTCCCTTTCAGGTCCCCTAAAGACCATTATGTTTATAGTCTTTGACTCCCAAGGTATACTTGTACAACTATATACAATATATGGACCCCGTATAGGGAACGGAGTCTATGAACCGCTGCACCCCCAACCACATGATCTTGTTGTGGATTTGTTTGGTTTGAGGACAGCTATGTGGAATCAAGGTGGAGGGGGAACGCAGTGGTTCTTGTCCTCTCATTTTGACATATTTCGACAGACGCCTGAGTCAACGTTTGAGACGTGGCCGAGGTTGTCCAGAATATGGTTGACATTTGTCGAAGATCGTTCCTGTGCGATTACACAGGTCCATGTTCGACCACCATCCACGAGACATGCTTCATTGTCGCGGACTACCCCCGAGACATGCTCACCACTGGCAGGCCAGTTTGCCGGCATTTCCTGGAAGGAAAGTGCACCTATGGTGCTGCTTGCAGCTTCAGCCATGAGGGCATCCCCATGACCGCGAGTTTCGCAGGCCCCAAAAGCCTGAGAGGAAGGGTGGGGCAGGTACTATTCAAGGAATGGTCTTCATTCAAGGAATGGTCTTCAGGTTCGGAAAGTCAGAAACCAAATGGTGA